TCCATATCTAATCAACCACTACCAAGCATATATGTAAGAGCTGTTGAATAATAATAACTTAATAATTGAGTTGGGACACTCCCATACTGTAAACCAGCGGTTCCAAACACTGACGCAGCATTGAAGTGTTTACCAAGCACACTTGCTGCTAAGATGATATAATTTTTTTTTTTTTACATCTTAACAAATTAGCTGTGCCGTCTGATGAATCTAGTCAAAAGTGGCATTTTATGTAGCCAGCTTTAGTTAATGTTTACCATTATAAATAATAGCTAGACTCTCATTGCAGTTAGTTGTTGATGGCTAGATGTGCATTTGTTATTGTATTTCATATGAACTATGAAAACACACAATGCATTATTATTGATTCAAACGAATAGTACCTAATGTATAATATCACACAGAATATAAAGTTCTCATTCAGAAGCATTCAGAAAAGGGGGCATTAGCCCTCCCACAACCCCCTTAGTGGCGCCCCTGTGTGAAAGGATCAAAAACTCCAGCAACTCTTGCAGATTGCATTGGTAGACCGTTTCGCCTTGTGGCCGTCATCAGGGTGGCCACAAGCCAAAACGCTATTAAGCCCTGGCTTTATTACATGTTTTCAAAAAGGAATATTGCATCAGATCAAAACATGCAAATCCCAGAAGAATATCAGTAAAGCAGACGGCGACCATAAAGTAACATAAGACCACCAAACTCGCAAACGGATTGTGCAAAAACGGACAGGATGTTTGTTTATGCTGCTCCACAGACAATAAGCAATGACAGTGGACAAAAGAGAAATGTGCACTGCATAATACAATCGAAATGAGCTCCCAACCCAAACACTTAAAAGGTCATGCTGTGGCTCCAGCCCATTCACAGTTAATGTGCAAGAGGAGCATCCATTATGTCGAATTCGAAGCAGCGACGCTAATCAGACGGCCACCGTACCAACATCTTTACTCACCTGTGCCGCTGCACCGGCTGACTAATAACCTTTGATAATCCGGTAACTATCAGATCCTCCTCCCTTCCCCTGTCTGCCGGTGTCGTCACGACAGGAACCACACCGAAGAGGTCGAAGCTATAAGTGCTGCTGTCTGGACTTTAAACCCCGCCCCCCTTGTGAGGAGCCCAATAAGTGTGAATCAGTGAGAAAAGTGATTAACTAAATGTAAGTGTCACACGTTTAGAGCTCTTTAAATGTTTTCACCGTGTCTCTTTGTGTTTACTGAAACACTGTGTTCATTTATTGAGAGGACACCTTTATTCATTCCCAGTGTCACTGTCAGGTAGTAGCGGTAAGTCGTCGGCAGGTGTCAGTGTCGCTGTGTGGACAGTGGGCACATGCATGTGGACAGCACGGAGGGGCACGGTGAAGTCTGGGGTCATCTTAACAGAGAATGAGCGTGTGTGTATGAAATAGGATGGACTGGCGAGTGTTTAAGTGAACTGCCAGTGCACTCTTATAGTAAGAGTATAAGAGGCTATATAGGGTGCCATGCAAGAGGTAGTATTATGGCACATGTTGAGTGTATCTCTGAACTGTTCCAGGCAATAAAATAGGTCCTGCTGAAAAGGTTCATGGAAAAGCTGCAGCTTCTCCTCTTTGCAGTCTTTGTGATTCAGAGCTAGGACTGCGAATTATGCTTATTTTCATTGTCGATTAATCTTTCAATCCTTTTCTAGATGAATCGATTGGTTGTTGGTTCATAAAACGTCAGAAAATAGTGGAAATGTTTCCCAAAGCCCATGTTTACATCCTCAAATGTCTTGTTTGTGTCCACAACACAAAGATATTGAGTTAACTGTCGTAAAACATAAAACATTCACATTTGAGAAATTTAAAACTTCTTAAAAAATGACTCAAGTGTACGAATAGTGATTCATTTACGAGTTGACAACTACTCCAAATTGTTGCAGCTCTATTCAGTATTCATCATTTCGTCGCTAAACATTTTATAAGAGGTTTGCTGGCTGAGCCAACAGGCTGACAGGCTGGTTACGTTATTTGATGCTACAGGAGAGAATATTTCCAACTTCCTTAACGCCAGCAAAGTCATACAACATCCTGTAGTTTACATAATTAACGTTACAACAGATCTGATGTATTAACTGGGGTCATGGTCTACATTTGTTGTTATTGCTTGTCCAAATGATCCGGTCCATGACCCACAGGGGGTCATCCCTATGTTCCCCGGGTCCTATGTTCCCCGCTAAGGTTAGGGTTAGGGTTCCCCGGTCCCATACAAAGCGGGGATCATAGGTACACTCCCCTAAGGCTAACGTTAACGGTACCGTCTTTTAGTATGACCCACTCAAATTAGGCTGCTTGCAGTCACCATCTCTGTCTCTGTCTCTCTCTCAGGCAAGGGAACACCGGAGCCATTCAGATGAAAACAGCAGACCAGGTAAAGACTGATAGGAACTAACCTTATCTCCAGTTCCAGGTTTTTGAGACTTAACGTTACTTTTTAGCTGAGTATGTTTGTTGGCAAATGGTAGCTAAGCAAGATGCATGTTCACAGGACAATAAAGTTAATAAAATCAATATTTTACGTTGTCATACATGGAGATAAACTGAATGACAGTATGCACCTTGAGCTACATGGCAACTGCTCATAAGTGCCAAAGGAAGAGGAACATAGGAGGAATAGGTATGCATCAAATGAATTATACTGGTTTGATGTACTGTACATTTTATTAGCAATCTTTTCCAGATCATTCAAAATGGGTCTGTATTCAGTAAGCAGTAGGTTAGATATGTATAGTATAAACCATTTTGTTTACATACTGCATACTACATACTTATAGTTTGGTCAAAAATACTGTACTGATAATGTTACAGCTTTAAGTCAACAGTGATACTAATGCAAGCTGTGGACAATTTTGGGAAGGCATAGATTATATTGCTTTACACAGCAGTTCCATATTGTTTTACTCAGTCAAACACAGCAATTGCAAAAGCTTGTGCTAATCCTGAACATCCGGTGAAAAACAATTTTTCTTTCTTATATAATTTTCTTTTTGCTGCATCTTTAAAAATACATAAACGCACCACGGCTGGACAATTCATCGAATCTCATTTTTAATTTCAATTTTTGTTTCCAACAATTATGAAGACAAGATAATTGAAATAAAACAATTAATGCGCCGCATTCCATTTCACAATGATGCTCTAGTTTTGTCTTGTGTACCGCTTCTTTCACAAAACTAGGAGGTGGTCTAGTGTTGATTTAAGACCAGTTAAGGACAAGGGGTCTTCCCACTGTTAAAAAGACAATTTTCTTAAAAAGCTCAATAAATGCATGATGTTTCCAAAGTCAATGATTTATCGTGTTAAATAATCATGATTTCAATATTGACCAAAATAATTACGATCATCATTTTTGCCATAATTGAGCAGCCCTACTAGAAATGCAAGGATAATTTTCCGCTGGTATCTAGTTTCACCTTTTAATAAGACAACAGTGCTGTGATCTTTACCTAGGTTTGACACTGTTGAAATTAAGCTGTCCCACTGTTTATTCTTCTCACAGTATACAGAGTTTTTAAACCTGGTGTCTGGGTAGATATTCCCACCACTGCTGGGAGAAAACTCTGCATACTGTGAAATACAGAGAGATTTACCTCGTGGTGATAGGCATTATGTGAACTATTTTGGCAAGGGCTTGAATGTAACAGACATCCATTTATTTGTAAAAGTTACACACTATAGCTTTCAGTTATGATGAACTTGATACAATGCTACTGGTTGAAGCAGATACATTTCATTCATGGTCAAGGATTAGAAAAAGTTTTCAAAAACAATGAGTTTTCTTTGGGTCATTTGCAAATTCCTTGTGTAAGGAAGTTTTATAATTAATGGCCATTTTTGTACACAAAGTTTGTAATAAATATTTTTGAGATTATAGTTGACTCATTTCTTAATGATTAAAGTCATCTGAGAAGGATTTGAAATGTTTATTGTGTAGCAGTGGGCTTTAACTACATACAGTACTTTCACTCAGACACAGTACTCACTCAAATACAAATTTGAGGTACTTGCTTTTTTCTTCAAATCTACATCAAACCAAAGGGAAATATTGTTTCACAACTCACAGGGGTATTTTTATGCATTATGAGCACTTTTACATTTTATACTTAAAGTACTTTTTTCTGATGATACATACTTTTACTTAAGTGATATGTTCAAAGAATCACTTTAACTTGGAAAATGGACAGTCGGGTTATACTTTTACAAAAGTAAGGTTGTGAATACTTCTTCCACCTCTTACTTAGGCAGATCCACTGAGGCGAGGTAACTGCTAATGTTACAGCAATTTAAAGATTTTCAAGTATCTAATTTCTTAGTAGTGAATACAGTTCTGCTGCAGCATATGCATCCAAAGGAGCATCCCAGCCATTTTCCTCAATAAGATGAATGCAAAGCTCAAAAACAGTTTCATCACAGGGGTATTGCCCTTTTGGGGTGCACTCCTTCTTGCAAACAGCTATTTCCTCCTCCAGAACTAATTACACGAGAAACATTTTAGTGGAACTGCTCTAACGTCAGCTGTCTTGTGTGCACAGGCACAGTGACTTGATGCTGTGTAATATTTGAATATGTCCAGGGAAATTACTGATAACACATACAAGCGCTAACTTTACATGGTCCTGAACAACAACTAATATCCAACCAGGATTTTAATTCTGACATACAGTAAATATCTGCTAATAACTGTGCTTTGATATGCACTATACCAGGGGTCAGTAACCTTTACTATAAAAAACAAAACAAAAAAAATATCAAAAGATTAAACATACTGGTAATCCAGCAGCAATGTTGATGAGAGCAAACAAATCTGCCACTGCATTTGAGATTTGGCAATATATAGAAGAAAAGGTGCCAGATTTGTTGTGTAATGGCTCATATTTACAACTGGAGAATGTCACTGTAGAAGAAAAGAAGAATTAAGTTTGGCAGCTGTGAGATGCAGTTCATTCAATTGTACATTAAAACACACAAAGAGGACTGAGAGTTTAAAGAGTTTTTATTGATAATTAAGGCACAACGGTACATCAGCAACACACAGCTGATATCTTAACACGAGTAACAGTGAAGAACTCTTCGTGGTTTGTCAGTGTAGGGCAGTAGTGTAGTCAAGGGCATAGCCTTGTATTTGGAGTTAATCCTTTTTTTATTTTGGGTAACAGAGTGCAGTTTGTGAGGCTTGTCGCTCTTATCCTGGAGTTAATGTGGTTGTCTTCCATTCATTTATTAGAATAAAAAATTAATGCATAGATGAATTTGAAAATATTCCTAATATTACCATGGATACAAAGCTTTCACATAGTTTAAAAAGCTGTCAGGTCTGCTGGGTGATATCACCATAAGCATCCTATTTGAGTTCCTTCACAGGAATATGAGCTTATCGACAAAATGTGTTTACACATGCGTTCTCTTACAGTGTGTTCAAGTATTGCATTTAACATTTTATTATTAATCAATACACACTGCCATTAATGACGACGTCATCATACAATACTCAGCAGTACCACAGTGACCTCTGTACCCACCCTTATCAAATACAGAAGAATGCGAGGGATGCACTCGTGCAAACATACTGGTTTCACTCAAAGTCAGGTGGTTAAACAACAGAAGAGACTCAGGGTAACAATCAGACACATTTCAAACCTCTTTGGCGACACAAGACAAAAAATATAACCATACATACACTTGTTTGATCTATCTCTATGCAGAAAATTGCATATCAAGGACGCAACAAGGATTTTGTCACGTTTCCCAGAAAACTTCATCATAAACACCCTGCTACAGCTTTTGTGCACAAGAATAAGGCCACTAAAGTTTAATGCAATGCATCCTGGTAACCGACAAAACAGAAAACAACTCACTTGTACTGCTATATCTGCAGTGCAATCATTTTAAAATAGCACCACATGCAATACAAGTTGATACTCTTTCCCTGTAGTCTTCTAAACACCCTTATCATACGTCAGACGTGATAATTTAATTTATACTCAACATTGACTTGTTAAACATCACACAGCCTGCATTTCTATGCTTGTGAGAGGCAGCGCTAAATGTCAACATATAATATCTGTTACTGTGATTACTAAGAGGAAATTGAGAATGTCTCCAGTTATAACAAGGAGGATGCATAGTATGTAACAATCTTTCACAGTCAGTCAGTTTTGGCTTAAACATACTTTTCTATCCACCTCTTTTCCCTATTTTCGAAAATAGTCTATTTCATGTTGACTCTTTCATTCCCTTCTACAATCTGACCACTCTTTGAGATTCTCAGTGGCAGTTTTGGCATTTAGGATGGCATTTCTGATTGTTGACGTTGCAGCGACATCCTCCACTGGTGTCTCCAGGACCCTGAGAAAGGATCAGAATCAAACCTTTCAGTTGCCTTTCAAATAAAAACTTTTTTAACCACCATGTTTTGGCTCTATACTATCATTCACATGTTGCAGAGACATTAATGAGACTTTTGCTGAACCTTTTCTGTAGGGATATTTGGTCTTTTGAGAGTCTATCTAACCAAGATTTATGAATCATACTTCCATTCCATAGATGTAGGCCACCAACAGAAAACTAGTTTACAAATCCTGAAGGCTTAGGAGATCTGGTAGGTACATTAGATAAGAAATACAGCATGAGGAAAGGAAGGATTTATTACCTTAGGCCCCCAGCGGGGCCCTCTGGTTACCCAGCAGATCTCAGTGTGACAGACGGTGCAGCGCAGCCAATCACATCCATCCCTCTTCTGCACGATGATGCCACACTGAGGACAGTGCATTGCTTCTCCTGACTGCACAAGAGTCTGTTTATGGAACAGAAAATTGGTGTAAGATAGAGAACTAAAGTTCAAGAGGAAAGGAGAAAGGATATGAGACAAGAGGATGTGGTAGATGCCAGTTTCTGTTTGATCAGTGGAACACAAAGTCATCTAGAACGTAATCTATCTCTGCACTTACACAGGAATTGGCTATACCTCATAGCAATTCCAAAAACAGTGATAGGCAGCTTAGACAAGGTCGCTCGTTCACTGCATACACATATACACAAGTGCCTACTCACCTTGAGTAGCTGCGTTGTCCTCCTGGCAGCAGAGTCATTTATAGCGCGGGCTGCAAGATCATCCTGGTATTGCTTACAGTTCATTCCCTCATGGATAGACTGAGCGCAGGAAATAAAAAGAGAAACAGAGACAGAAAAAGACAGTTGTTGTGTGTATTCAACCTCAGTGAAGGTATCTGATGCATGAAGACAGAAACTTTTCTGTCTTTAAACAGCAGTTAAACTGAAGTGACCAGACCAATTAAAAACATGACTACCCTCAAACGCGTAGTGTCGCTTCTTTCTAATTACGTTATTAGTTATTAGCTCAGATTGATAAGTGCATGGTACAATTTTTACTCCCCTTGTACCATGGCTGTGCGTTTACTCACAATCTCAATTCGACAATTTCCTACAAACTATGGCATTAATGACCAAATATTGTATTATTTATGTGTATATATTTCATACCTTGCAAATCAGGCAGTTATGTTTCCTGCAGACGGGGCAGTGGAAGACATTGACTGTGTCCTCGTACACACACCAGCCTAGGCAGTCTGGAGTGGCACAGTGGTAGCTGCCCTCACATCGAGACTCTGCCACTGACAGACCTCTTTGTAGCCAGCGCTCATACTCCTCTGCTGGAACCAACTGTGAAGGAGAAAGGGAGAGAAATTGTGGAGAACTAGTCAGCAGCAATAAAATATTATCAATTCTGAGGATTTCCACTGTACTTTTTACCTCATGTAGTACCAAACTTGTGTGGTCAGTGATTTCAAGGCAAACACTGTACATCCAAAAGCTTTACTGATGAACTAAAAGCCTGTGTTCTACTTTTCAACTTCACATCTTGCTCTTCAAACAGAGGCTATATTGAAACCACTGGCTGTCTTCAGCAGTCCTGGTTGGATAACAGTGTATTGTGTAACACTTAGCAGCTGGAGAGGTTGGCTAACTGTTGCTTCCTATTAGCCGAAGCAGCTGAAGGCTATCCACCGGGAGAGAAGCCAAAGTCTGGGCTGAAAACAGGTAGCAGAGCAGTACTGTAGCTCCAGCTTCTTGGCTGGCAGTGACAGTGCTGAAGGGAGCTTTCCTTGCTAAATTAAAACATAATGTTCAGTAATATTTACATATTCTGATGCTTTAAGGTGGTAATACTACTTGCTAATACAGCAGTTAGAAATATACTGTATGTTATCCTGATGCATCAGTGTAAATACTATATTTGCTGGGGTAACTCACAGCTCTGATCTCCCTCTCTTGCAGGGAGCAGGCACAGGAATACGTGTCATCTCTGTAGGGACAGGACACCTCCGGCTCCTCACTCAGCATTATGACTGAACGTAAGCACTCTCTGGGCAGGCACACACACAAACATGCAGATACTGACAGGTCTGAATCATGAGAAACATAGTATATTCACTTCATTATGATACATCTTCACTCTTTCTATTATTACTATTGTTCCCCACCACCTCCTGAATCGTACCTGCAGAAACAGTGGAGACACTCCCTCAGCAGGACCCCCTCTCCAGGCTGCAGGTCCATGTAGCAGATCCTGCAGTCCACGGGCTCTGGGTTAGGCAGCAGGTCCTGGCTGTCCATCATCACCAGCCTGGCAAAATTCTCCCTGCGCTCCTCTTCCCTAGCCTGACACAAGAGGTGGTGGTGTGGACAGGGTTAAAGGAATATTCTGTAAACTACATCCCTTCAGTTTTTGTTAAAGAGGCACAATGATACTGGTAATGCATAAAATTGGAAATATTGAAAATGTACAGTTTTTCATCCTCACGTGTATACACATACATGCAGACACATACATTGTGTATAAACATTTTATTTTCAGTATATACAATTAACAGCAAAATTAACAATCAGGCTAATACATTCAATTTAGTGGCAACCACTGCTCTTTAGGAATTCATTTAAAAAACACTTGATGCTGAAAGTCAACAGTGACCATGATTATCCAGCTGGAGGGTAAATGAGGAAAATCCTTTCTCACTAGAGCTTGACCAATATATATTGCCATGGGCTTGTACCACAAAGCGAGATTATTGGGTCAGCCAGCCATCTTTGGCCTTCACTCAGGTTTTCTGCCATCATGAAGCTGGCTCACTTTTAACTGGGATAAATCACCATGGTAACCTAAGCTGCAAGGCTACAGAGAATTAGATCAACACCTGTAAACAGCCCGACCACTAACCAATCAGCTTACTGCAAATACAGGGTCATCATTGCTACAGGATCGTGACAGGGACAAAAGAGTTTACAAGAAAGTGACAAATAATAAAGAGCATCTATATAGACTTATACATCAGTTTAATCCTTTTTCACTTCCAGGCTTTCCATGTGTCCACTGTGGTATTAAAATCATTTTAGTTTGCCACATAATGACAATTATAGCTGCATTGTTATTGCACAAAGATTATTTCCTTCCCGACAAGATTCCAGACAGTGTTGATGCTCTTACACTCAGAATAACATGAAGCAACATTGTGATCAAACCAAACTATACCCTCTGTTGGATTTTATAGGAAAAATAATGTTGTAAAACACTGTTATTTCCCATGATTATGAAAGCACCATTTCGATCAGATAGATCAGGCATGGACTATCTGCTTCTCCTCCTCTCTGCTTTGGCAGAATTACTTTGAACTTTTTTATGTGCATCACATATTCATAATAGTTTGTTCATCATCAGACAAAAAATTAAAAAATACTCACTCTATAATTCCTGCACTAATTTATAGCCTTGCTTGCAGAATGACACTTTTTGCTGTCACTGTAATGGAATTTTCCTGCGGGTATCACCTTTTTAATCTCTTAATCTTTCATATGAAGGACTTAATTCATGGTCGGGATTATGCTGCTTATAATTAACAACTCATCCTCTTTCAAATGAACATGAACTTCCTGATGAAATTAGAAACCCACAGTTAAGAGAACCAGCTGAAAACCAGCCTGGTGATACTGGACGGCCAGTGTTAGTTGAACCTGCTTTGTGAAACAGGCCCCAGGGGCCAAAAACCCCTCTTTGTCCAAATTTTTAAACTTTCAAATGTCAAAACTGGCCTCTAAAGTCCAGTATCAGTCAGGTTCTACTTTTCACCAGAACACTGGAGCTAGGGATATACCTATGCCACCACTTGTATTGCTCATTTGACCTACACTAGTCAGAAATAAGGTTTAAATAGGCGTAAGTGGTATCAGTGCATCTCAAATGACCTACATTCAACTTCAGGGTAGAAATATCAGAACCATATGCTTCCAATTCAAGCATACAGACGTGCTTATTATTTATTTGACCTAAAAGTGAATGTCTGATAGGTGCAACGGAAATGGTGCAACAACTGTCTGTGAATGAAACGTAACTAAACATGGAGTGTATGTATGTCTGTGTTCAGTAGTCCTGGTCCAGGTTATACAGGAGTGAGTTGTTTTGAGCCCCAGCACTCCTCAGCACCTCTCTTCTCCCTTTCTCCTTCAAAAAAACAGAGACAAAAGAGAAGAGAGTCAACCCTGAGAGAGCCTGTAAATTTGAATTGAAACTATTTCATACTTCCCTTTCCTAAATTTTATCCAATTTGGAGCCTTGTGTTGCCTTGCAGTTTCTTTTCTTTTTACAAAATATTATTTGACACAGGCTTTTGTTGAACCCTTGTATGTGACTCACACAAATGGTATACTAAGATACGGTTTTACTCTGAATATATATATATATGGGTGAAGGACAAACAAATAGATGTATGATTGTATGTGTAAGGTATGTGGGTGCATGGTATGCGTGATGACACAGGTGTGAGTGTGTTTTTCATACCTGCTGGTACTGTCTGATAGCCTCCTTCTCCTGCTGGATCCGTCGGAGTTCCAGTTGGTCAGGTCGGTATCCCCCCGGGATGATGTAGTTCTCAGGGCGGTTTGTACTGCAGATCTCACAGCCTGGCCGTGTTGGTTTGTTAATGTAAGTGCAAGAAGGGCACGACCAACCCTACGGCACAGAGAAGTGCTTTTATTCTTTGCTTTTAATTGTTATTCATCTTTTTCAGTATTATAAGTGTGAGAAACAGCACTGTATGCTTATCAATTGTCTTTTCTTATGAGATAGTTTGTGAAAACATTGACCATTTCGAACAATGTGTGAATGATGAAACCCCTCTATAATTAAACTACCACCATAACTGCTGCTGTTACCTGGGTGGAGGCTGTGTTGGGGCTCAGTGCTTCATTGAGTTGAGGCATCTCTAGGTTGATGAGATCTTTGATCTCACTGATGTTTCTTCTCTCTGACCCACATAAAATGTTTAAAAGACAAAAAAGTATCTAATAAGAAACGAGTAAACACCTGCAAGTGAACACATGTGCCCATTAAATATCCCATTAAGACATGCATGGAATGTGTGTGTGATATGTTTTTCTTTCAAGGCAAAGGTAATAACTACAAATGGAAACATTTTTAGACAACTTCTACTTCTTTCATCTTAACTGAAAGAAAAAATTCAATTGTGATACCACAATCATATATAAAATAAATCCTATACAGTCAGCTGTACGTCTGTTTTCAGTGGATCCTTATAACCAACAAGAGTTTATAACATATAGAGTATTATATATATATATATATATATATATAGTATACTTGGTTTAGACGTTTCATCTGCATTAATGGTGACAGGAACAAATTACCCTGGTATTACCATTTGTTGGGTACCAGTTGTATGAATCCATCACTGTGTTACTGACTAAAGCACTAAATAAACAGGTGTGTGCTCAATAAAATTTAAAGTAAAATCTGTTCCGACAACAGTCCCAAACCCACATGGTAATGGCCTTACTCACCAGTACTGCTGCTTGTATGGAGTCTAGGAGGTAGGGTGGTGTAAGGCCTCTGGTCCAGAGAGGAGGGGCCGTTTGCAGAGGTAGCAGGGAGGGGAGGAGTGGGTAGAGACAGAGATGGAGAACTGAGAAGGAGGGCACTCTCCTGGTCCTGCTGCAGGACTTGTAGGGTCAAGCGAGCATGGCGGGCTGACAGGAGGTACAAGAAGGCTGTATCACCGTCCTGATGAACTCCATATGAAGCCAGAGAGCGCTGGTCTGTGCACAGACACTGACCAATCACCCAGCGCTGCACACGTGGGTGAAAGCCATACTCAAGAAACATCTGAGATGGTAGAAAACCAAAGGAAGAAAGAAGAGAGAGAGACACTTTGAGATATAACCTTTTAGTTTAGACTGGTGATTCTTAGAGCCCTTCAAGACAAATGTAATTTTTTGATTCTTTAGACTAACCTGCTGTTTCAGTGCTGCAGTAGTCATGTGTGGGAAAACTTTCACAGTGACGCAACAGGACGAAGAAGAATCCTCAACTACAACAGCCAAGCTGTTACAGAATGAAGCACAAGCTATTGGCTAGATAGTTTGTATAAACTTGTTATAATCTACTTTATATCACAATCAAAAAATGAATAAAACAATTATCGACCATCAATCGTGTTTCTGAAATGTTTAAATCCTAATAATGATGATGCGCCTACCTGATTTCAGTGTCTTCATACTCTCCAGCAGAGGGCTGAATCTTGAGCGTAGCGTGTTGCCGTGCAAGCGTGGCAGCAAAGGCAGAAGCAGCCTGCATGTCACCTGCTTCTATTGCTCGGGTCAGCTCTATGCAGGTTTCCTCTACAGATGGATACGCATACGCACAGTACACACACACACACACACACACACACAAACACAAAAAAAAAAAAAACACACACACACACACACACAAACACAAACACACACACAAGAAAACACAAACAAGCCCACACAGGTGAACATACTGGCAAGTGTGCACAGAGGATGTTGCCATGCCTCCAGACAGCCACTAGGGGGCTAACAATGATTTAATGAATGAGTGAAGGGATAAGTGAATAAGTGAATTAGTTACATCACATTACCACATCCAAGATAACAGTTTATATTGGGAGATGTTCAGTGTACATACCTGTCCGTTGCAAGATCATGGTGTTCTGAAGGTTGAGACCATCCAGGGGGCGCTGAGGACCATTATCCTGAGGGGCGACTGCCAATGAGAAATGTTGAAAACCAGAATTAACGGATTTAGATACACAAACAGACAAAAAACTGACCAACAACAAACATTCAACTTTACCAAGTTCTACAAAGGACCTGTTCTAGACTGAAGACTGAAATCTTTAACCCTTCGTCTAAATTGAGTATTGCTGCATCTTGTCCAAACAGAGATACTTTTTAGTAGAACAACATAGTAGATAACAAGGTGAACATTTCCCTCTGAGCCATTTTTGTCATCTGGATGACACAGTGAGCACTATCTCTGATCTTAGCTAATTTATCTAATCCATTATCACGCTGCGTCGTATAAACTAAGGTCACAGAGAAGGCAGTGCAGTTTATATACTTAAGATAGACCAGAGCTACAGGGAAAGCAACTGTTAACACACTATGCATTCAGTTTGAGTGTGTTAAAACGTGATCCGTCAACAGAAAGGCTTCTGTGTTTATTGACACAGGGTTAATTTGTCAATTACACTGTTACTCCTGACACTAATTCTACATACTTTCTGGTTTGTATGCCAGGCAAGTAAGTCCAGAAAAACAATTTAACACAGAAAAGGAGGTCCTATTCTAACTCTATGAAGCAGCCCAGACAAAATGTTATTCCTGAAGTGTCCCATAATGCTGGCAATGGCCCTTTGTGCATGTCCTAGGACTATTTCTAAGGTCTCTTCTCTGCTCCATTGGCCCAGTGTACAGTACCTCTAAAGAGGGATTCGCAAGGGATGTTCTTATGTCAGCATTTACTACTACACTATGTTATATTAGCTGAAAAAAATATGGGGGAGTTTGTGTTAGAGCCACAGCTGCTAACCTTAAATAGCCAGCCATAGCTATTAATTGAGCTAATATTGTATAAATATCATAATGATGTCAGCCCGAAGTGGTTACAAAAGCTGGTTTATTACCATCATTCCACAGTAAGCACAGATCGATCTATCCAAAATATGAAGTTTGGTTACAGTGGTTGAGATTGACGTTAGTGATGTTAACAAGCATCGAGAAGGGCAATGAAAAGCTCTTTTGTTCAAATAAATAAATAGCCAGTTTGATACGTCAAGCTCACTTTGCAAGTTCACTACAGGGCAAATTAATTCCACCAACAGAGAACAAAGTTACAAAGCGTGAAATATCTACCTTTTATCCCACCTTTTTGCTATGGTTGTTATGTAAAAGAGCAGTGGGTACTTGCCAAGAAAGGCGACTGACCTCTTTGTGCTTCTCTCAGTGAAGATAAAACCACCGTAGCCCATTCCTGGGCCTCCTGCTCACAGCGGAAGTTGAAGCTGATGCGATCGTGTGGAGGCGCCACCAAACTCAGCTCATGGCACTTTGGTGATTTCACCTCATAGTTTACTGTCCCCAAATCAAACTCAGCGATGGTCTGAAAAAAGAGGAAGAAGGAACAAGAATGAGGAGAGATAAGGGGGAAAGAAAAGGGGTTTGAAAATGAATCATAGGTTACGTTATGCCAAAGTGGGAACTGCTTGTGTGCACTTGATTAGGTAAAAACGGGATTTTAACTCTCCATTATACTGTAACACACTGAAATATAGACGTACTGTGATATATAAATTAGAAAATGTGAAACAGAAAAAGCAAAAATAAATTATCATTTAAATGTCAAAAACTATAACATCTGTAATAAAATAATAATAAATATACAATCAATTCTAAAACAGTTTCAACAAAAATGCAACATTATGTACTGCAGAACTAGAAAGCATTAGTTTTGGTTTGGTGTACCTAATACTCTGGGAGTGTAGTTGTAATAAATAAATAAATAAATAACAGACCAAAATAAATGCTCTGTATCTAACTTTTCCATCTGTCAGAAGTGACCATGAATCAAAGAGCAGTTTATTTTAGGCTTGCAAGTCAAGTGACCTGAACCCTGAGGGTGGGGAGCCCTCGAAGTGGGCAGAAGCTACATTTGAGGGGTCCCTGATGGAGAAATAACTGTGCTACACAACGTTTTTCTGATTTTTATCTATTTTTAGCTTTTTCCTTGTGAAATGATGGACAGTTTTACCTCTTCAGGCCAATAAAAAATATCTAAATATAGTCATTTACAACCTGTAATGAAAGGTTACTGCTTCTTAATACAGTGACCCAAGCAATGTTGAATTACCAAGTGGGCAGAGTGGGCAACTGCCCCATGGCCCCTGACCATAACAGGGCCCAACGCCTCTGGATTCACAGCATGGCAGTGAGTTTGAAGTTAATGCAAGTAACAATCAAAAAGAAAACATGTTTACCCAATCTTGAGAGCCTGTCTTTAGAGGGATCTTTAATAAATGTATTGTTTCAGTTGATATTATTCAAAATAAATATGTAAATAAGTAGTACAGCAGATATGTATGAAAATAAAGCCTGTTCTTAGTATTTGATGGGTACCTAAAGGCAATGGGTTACAAAAATAATGCACAGAAGGTGAACTAGTGGCCCACAGGTTCCTGAAAAAAAATAATAAAACAAATCTGGCTCTGGTAACAAGCCAGTGCGTTTGGAAACTATTGCTAGGTGGTTCCCATTAATTTCATTTCACCCTATTTTCACACTCCAATACCTTTCATGTGGAGTCATATCTATCATTAAAACATCACAACAAGCCCAGCACTACTGCTCGTCTTGCTGCTGTGAGCTCACCACACTCCGTCCAGTCCCGCTGCTGTCCTGGAGCGACAGCCGGAATTCCCCGGATTTCCCCGGGTCCATGCTAAGCTGCAGGCGGAGTGACTCATCACCTGCTCCCGGAAGACACAGCGGCCGAATACCAGAGTGGCACACCGACACCCGAACCGACATAAGGACGGTTTGGCAGCCAAGCTGTGACTGCGAGGCCCCATAGTGAGTGGGGAGGGCGGCGGACTGGTCCGGAGTGAAGCCAGGGGTGGGAGTCCAACCGCCTGAACTCAGCGACATCCTGCCAACAGACTCATGTAGGAAGCAAACACACAGGGTCGTTCACCTCTTGTCCCACGCCGTCACCCGTCCTTTAGTTTGAGTAGAATATGTGTTTTTACATTTTTATCTCCTCGCTGGTTGTTTAATACGCATTGACAACAGGAAGCAAGTGCGCAGAGTCCAGAGTCTGACAAATGTTTGGAGCGACTTCCACAAAGTGTAACGTTACCCAAAGCGAGAGGTTTCACTTCTCTCTTCTTCCGTTTCCGCTACAGCGTCGTTTTAGGCAGATTTAGAGCTTCTTTTTGGCTGTGAAGCAGTAACATTATTCTTCGGGGTATCCTTCCAGCACCGAGGTTGTTGACAATAGTTTAATTCTGGTAACGTTGTTGTTGTTGTTTCTGCGTATTCCGCTCACTTGGTATTGCGCATGCGTCGCTTGCTTGTTGGGGGTGACGTAAGCTGTTGTAATATTCATGAAGGTTTCATTAGTTATATGACTTTAATGTTTTAACTTAAGCCACTTTCTGTTTATTTATGTTGACCCCTGGCCTGTTTTTTTGTTAATCTTTTCTTTCTTTCTTTCTTTCTTTCTTTCTTTCTTTCTTTCTTTCTTTCTTTTATTACATGCTTTGCTGTATATTTACTTATATGGCTGTTTATATATATATATATGAAACATTGGCTATATGAGAGATGAGCTTGGTTAGCTCCTCTGTTAGCTGCCTTTTTGTTAATATTTTAATTTTAGGCAATTATGCTGTCCCTTATACTTTGGTTTCAATATTTTGTATTTTGGTTATACAGCGTGTGTGCACATGTTTTACCACAAAGGGGCAGCAAAGCATCCCAAAAAGGTTCCCTTCTCCTCTAGATAATAATTCTGCTGAAATCTGTTTTTGACATCTTCAAAATGACATAAAAACATTTGATGAGCTAAACACTATGTATTTAGCAGTAGTAGTGGTAGTTAAAGTTAGTCTTATCCCAACCTACAACAACATTAAAATGCTGCCACACTCTGAATAGGGTCATAGTAATGAGTACTTTAATTTTAATACTTAAAATATATTTTTCTGATAAAATTTTTACTTAAAGTAACATTTTGAGGTTACTTATGACAAAAAAATTTTACACTGTGGTATTGCTCCCTTTGTTTAAGTAGGCTAAAGGAAAAGTAATATGTCTTCCCTTCTCTTCTTCTTAAAGATTTTTCGGAAATCTGTTTTTGACATCTTGTAACATTTATTTGAAGAAAAATGATGATGTTGAACCATGTGGTGCACATCAGTTGTCTTCTGTAACTAAATATTTATTTCACTTTAAATGTATATAACTTGAAATATATATAAACATTACTGCACTTATGTTTAGCCATGACAATACAGAATACTGTCTTTGCTGTTTGTAATTATACTAATATTATATTAGGCTACGTCAGTTATAATATGTATGATGATTCTTCACAACAACAACAACAACAACAACAATACACAATATTAGATTAAAAGGGATTGTGAGGTGTGAGAACCTAATTTATCATTTTGGATTGCAAGGTCTCTTTTATTTGTTTGTGACACAAACCTAAAGCATATTGGGGTAATTCTATCATTAACATAATATAAGTGCTTTTCACAGCAGATCATTTGACTGATCAACAAAGAAAACGCACAAGTGTTACTGATAATATTAACAATGGATTCATTCTATTCAGATGTTCCATGTTACAGTATGATAAAAAAAATAGCAGCACCCTAAAACTGAAGAATTCAATTTAGCTGAGTCACTGGTTTTATTGTTTACCACTGTGCTTTTCATACGTCAAAACTGTCTTCTGCAAATAGCATCCATTACACTGTGAACTGCTTTTGAGGGGATTGAGTGTGACAAAGTATCTAGTGATTTCTGCAATGTGTTAACTGTAAAGATGGTGATAGTGTACAGATATCATAAATAACATATGGTTCATGTGACCCAGGTGGGACTTGAACCCACAATCCCCAGCTCCGGAGGCTGATGCCTTATCCATTAGGCCACTGGGCCACAAAAGTAAGATGCCATTCTTTTAGTCCTAATGGGATCTCTGACACACTTTGTTGGATTTTGATCCATTGTTGAATTACTATGGCCCAATCCCAACGTCCACACTCATGGACTCACAGACTTTGAGGCGTGTTCCTGCTAAATCTGTGAAGGTTCAGGGTTTAGACCTCAGAGGGGATATTAGGTTTTGGCCTATACACCGAATACTTGGTTCATTTATTTGTCATTCTACAACAGAGGGTGGCACAACAAAAGGAAGGTTGTAGTCTCTTTATGCTACACAAGAATAGTGGAGAGCCAAGTTTACATTCATGTTTAAGGACCTAGTAAAATTCCAATCTAAATGCCTTTTATTCACAATGAACACCTACACTAACAGCAAACACCTACAAAGAAATGTCCCTGCTGACCACTGACTTCCCAATTTAAAGCTTTTTTAAGAAAGAGGGTCAATGGTCAATGAATGTCCCGGCCCACACACGAAATACGAGGCAATTAACAAAATATACTGTAGCGTGTAAGGGGAATGATTTAGATAACGAAGCTTAACCGGTTAAAGCTGTTAATCATTGTGCAAGCAGGGTGTTCTTAATCAATACCACATTCCTCAGGGTCCCCGTGTCCCACAGTATCAAGGAAAGCTCTCTCTCTTTGAACTTTATAGTAAGATCATGGCATTATTTTTATGAATGAAATACCTTTACTGAGGTCGCCCTTTATAGATGCACAGGACATGACATGATTGCTTGTGGTGTCGTGATCCCTCAAAAAAAGAGTGTAATGCAGGAAGTCTAGCATGTCACTTCATGCTGTGACTGGACCGGTGATCCTCTATTTCTCCATTCAAAAAACACAGATTACACAGGCGAGGTGAAGCTATTCATCATCAGCTGCTGATGAGAGCATGATGTTATAGTTTGAAGAGGACAAACCAGACAGAGGCAGCACTGTGACGCCAAAGAACACTTCTTGAGCAGGGACAATGTGGACAACTAAGCAGTGTATTTTTAAATCACATTAGGAGATTTAGTGAGTTTAGAGCAGTAGTGATTCAAGACGAATAAAAATGAGGTTAAGAATTGAAAATAATCTTATTGCAACGTAGTTTGTCTATGAGGAGCTCAATGTGAGGTTTAATGAGAGGTAGAGAAACCAACTTATATTATAGGTCGGTAACGCTGTATTGTGTTTACATTTATTTGTCCCTAAATCTATTCATGGGTAGCACCAACAAGATCAAAACAGGGATGAACTGAACTCTTTCTGAATGGGTGTTCTGCATTTTTGCACAGCAACAACTCTGTTTGTGACTGGGGAGCTAAGAAGCAATAAATCGTACACTGTGTTTTCAAATAAGGGGCTCCCTATCATAAAATCAAATTAGCTTCATTAGTTAGGGATTCTTCCATGTTGTGGTGTGATTACACATCCTCAGGTAGTTTTTATTCTCATTATTGCAGGGCTTGTGTCTACATCATACCATCTGATCTCAGTCCACAATGAAATTATGGCTGCCCTAATGTGTGGAGGAGAACCGAAAGAGCTGTCCAAGGGTGGAGCTGTGTACATGCACGTGCACACATGGAGACACAGATATGGAACCTTTTATATCAAATGTTGCATAGGACAATGATATCATCACTTCAAAATATTCAATTTACCACATATAAGACAAAGAAATACAGCAACATTTTACATTTAAATAGAAAGCAAAGTTTGTTTGCAAAAATTTAAAAAGATTAATTGATTATTAAAAATATAGCTTTTGTGTCAATTGACCAATTGATACATTTGCTAGTCCTTTTTGAGCTCTACATCTACTGCAAAATTAATTGACTTGGTGTTGCAAATATGCCACAACTAGTCATGGGATTTTCTCAACATTCTGCATTTCTCAGCAAGCTGTGTTCCTTAAATAATTTATTTATTTAACTGTATGTTATTTTGAGGTTAAGCTGCATTGTCACATTTTGAGCAGCACTGTCACATTGCATTGTGACCTTTACAGACATCCTTTTAGGCCTAAATGTGCCTTTACAGCTGAATACATTTGAGTGAGCAAAGTTCTCCTCATCTCAGCCTCTCACATGTGATTCACCACTCTCACCTCTCAGCACATACCGGTGGAAAGTAATGGACATAGTGTGAACTAACATGACGTCACAGTAGACCTATATACAATTCTCAGTCCTTCCTGAATCGTATTTGCTTTTAAAATATTACCTGTCCAGCTATAAACCTACAGAGCTCCAATCTGGTATGTCAGTATGCAACATTGTTCTTTTTAGGTGCAGTGAGCTGTTTACATTAATAATCTTTGTATTTGGAGCTGATTATTATTAAGAAAGTTCCAAAAGCTTAGTTTCTGGTGACAAGACTCTTCTATTCTTGAACAGCCTCTAGAATAAGCGGAAGTTTTTGCCATAGCTGATTGTGTCCTGCTTTGTACCACGTAATCAAGCTGATTGATGAAAGACTCATCACAAAACGCCCACCACAGTTCCAGATCACTGTCTGACAGACCTACTTGAGGTGCTGGGTCTCCCCATGTTCTCTAATTTAACGTTGTCCGCATTGTCATTGACTTTCTGATGGACTGCTCTGCTACGTGACAGACGTCAGGAAAACTCCAAAACCAAACCTTCTCTCTCAAAGGGATGAGGGGGGTTTAAAGAGTGGGAGGAGGAGGGGAGGAGGAGAGGGAGGGAGGTGATGCATTCTGTAGTCTGGGATCACTGTGTGTGACTGACGCTCTTGATTCATCATCCAACAACCACATGAGCAGCATGGATATATAAGCTGCAGCACACCTGCTTGACAATAACGACTTCAGACCTCCGACAACTGACCTCAGCCTGTTACCAAAGTTCAGGGTAAGGAGCTGCTGCTTGGGGTTTACATTATAGAGTAATTTTGTTTTTACTACCTGACAAATTCACTGTATTAAATGCCAGAGAATGAGGATAAGTTATGTGTTTGGGCAGTTATTTTATAATACTCCTGTTGCATTTGTGTTAACTATTCTAACACAAGTGTACATCACTAATAGGGTGAATAATTGAAGTAGGATATTGATAGACTAGAATAGTGTATATCTCTATAACCATCACCTATGGACTTTTATGAGACAATTATGAGTTTATAATGGGTCATCGTAGTGTGTTTTTAAATCTCTAAATTCAATTTATACTATAATCCTTTTTTGAAACTTTTTTTTGTTTTTTTGCAGGGATATACAACACATGTATCAATGACAAATAATCGCCTTTGATAATATTCTTGTATGAGCTTCTGGTGCAGTGAGGTTTAAATGACTTTATCCTATTTCACTGTATATTTCCTCTCGCATTATTTATCTCTTTTTATAAATTCCTTACAGTTACAGAAATATAGTTTTTCTATAATATTCAAAATGGATTTTTGATTATCTTACCTGAAGATATTTCTGATGTTTAATTGTATCCGTTTCAGCTTTCTTCATGCTTTCTTTCTCTACTTAGTGAGTGATGCTTTACTGACCAGCTTCTCTCCATCCTCTTATTTAGTGCCTTCAGTGACTCCACAGCATGCTGCCTGGGAGAACGGCTGATGTCCAGCACTGCGTCTTGACAAGCCGCTGGCTGCCTGCATCTCTGGCGCTGCTCATCCTCCTCTCCTCCAGCTTCAGCAGAGCCCACAGCACCACGGTGGAACATGACTTCCACATTGTTCACAATGTTGACAACAGAAGTAAGACTTTTTTATTTTAGCTTTTTTTTTTCTTACAACCTGCAGAATTTGTTGAGGTAGTTTATGGAGATTTAAGAGACTAAAAATTTGAGAGGACAGACAGAGAAGAATGGTAAAAAAAATTTTAAAGCATATTTATGGCTCTTAGTATTGAGTTAATAGTGACCTTATTCTACATTGTCATTTACTCTTCTCAGGGATTTATTGTAAGATACTTCATTACTATTTACTATTACATTGTACTTCTAGAAATAACGTGTGTCAATAGTTGTCTGTTGTGTGAATTTTAAGGAATCATTAAGCTATTTGTTTTGAAAGAGAAATTCGATTATTTAGCTCAAAAATAAGAATATCCTCATCTACTAATTTGGTGTACATCAGTTTATCATATAATCTACTATGTGTATTATTTTGTTTCCTCTACAAATTATTGCTATGTTCAATGACATTATTACATTATGCTTACATGTAAATGTATAGTTTAATATATTCTGAATAATTTACTTTAGATTGTAGATTAAGGAGTGAATTGTTTTGTCTACCATATTAATTTCTATACATTATAATGCTAGCGTAATACAAAATAAATTAATCTCTTTTTATTTGAACTTTGTGTATCACAATGAATGTCTTTAAATAAAACGTACAATAAATATAATAGTATTGTTCTAGAAGTCAGTGTTACTTCTGAATATATAGATAAATAATTTCTTCATATATTTCCTGAACACATCAAATCAGCATAGAAAATCATTTATGTTCACATAGACAACATTGTATGAAAATCTTCTACTTGTCTTTTCTTTTACCACTACAAAATAGACTAATTTAAATTAAAGCATTATAAAATCATACTGTTTTGATAATAATAATCACTGTTACTGATTTGTGTGGTGTCCAGGTCCAGAGATAGACCCATTCTGGTACGTGGGGCGTGGGGTGAGACCCATTGGGCGCTTCGGGAAGAGGCACAGCAGTGTGGAGGCTCTGGGCAACGGGGGGATGCAGCCTGTCGTCAGGACGTTGGCACTGCTGCTCAGCAGCCTCAGAAACAAGGAGAACCTTGGGAACGTGCTGGATGGGGAGGACAGGGATTGGTTACCATGACAGCGTGTCCTTCTTTCTTCATCCACAAACTCTGTCTTCATTTTTTATCTTGATTGAGGTTATAAACCATTTTGCTCTAGCTCTTAACCGTATTTTCTCTCTGGTGTCTGTTATGAGGCCTTGGTTGATAGGATCCTCTGTGAAATCACCCACCAAATGTATCTGTACATAAAAATGCATTCTATATTGATTAATAAACCAGGATGTTGTGATTATATCTGTTCATTGCTTTGCTTGTATCCTTCCTGTATTTGCAGCTGCACAACAAACATTCTTTCAAACAAGAACGCTTTAAGTTTGCAAATTTTATTCATTTCATAATACATGTTTTTCTCAGAGTACTGTGGCACATAGAGAATCTGTGTTTTTTGCTTGTTAATATTTTCCCCAACATGTCATATGAATTGCAACAAACGATTGCACATAAAAGTGAATGGCCCACCTGTGGAGCTGTGCACAGGAAACCATATTGTAGTCATTCACACTGGATTAAGTAAGATTTGTTTTTAGCTCTGTGTGAATGTCATCATTTCGGAGTATCTGGGACACAGTAGACTTCCCGTCTGAATCCAGCCTTACAAGTCATGACAATTATACACAGCCTTTTGCACACAACACTGAAAGATTGGTCAACTATGATTGGGCAATACACACATTATTATATATCATATCCATCTTTTCACACATATACATATATTAACAAATTCTGTGATGATATAATATTTTTTTACATTAGAAAAATACAGGACACTGATGATTGGACCCTTGTGGCTGTGCTTCTCATGGGAAATTTTACATCAATTTTGATAAAACCAGAAACATGCTTTTATACATCGACACCTCTGGAGAACAAGGTTGACGAAAGTACAGGATCAATGTGCAAAAAACAGAGATGTGAAAGGCTGGGATGAAAAGGTCACTAATAGAAGGGGTAGAGCATTCATACAGAAGATCATCACACCTTTTAGTTCAAGCAGTACATCAGAAAATCCAAATCTGCTCTTAAGCTGTACTTTGGACAAGTGTATGCATGATTAACTGAGATTCTGACTAATGTAAGTGGCGACAGAATAAAGAAAAATAACTCAAAAATGAAAGGCAGTATTCTCAAAGAGAGTGTTTAAGGAGTACAAATACAGTATGAATCGTACTAGCCGCTCCAAAAATGCCTGTTGTCACCCGTGTTTTTGTAACATTTACCATCGTCATTACTGGCAGAATATCAAATGGTAAATGCAGGCATACACTGAAAGCACTTTGAGTCACCACACGTGAGAAAGTCTGATAGGACTGACTGAGGAGGGCTCCTTTGAGGAGAGAATAAAGCCTTCAATTTGCAATAGTACTTATTTCAGTGGTATTGCATAAAAATGTTCAGTAAAGTACAAAAATAAATTGCTTGTAACAAAATCATGGTTTCATGGCATTTGTTATATAGCCCATCAGACTTCATTATGTAAAAATCTTTACAAGATTTTCTGAATGCAACAGAAAAGTTCAGACATGACCCAGCAAAGGGGAAACATGAAAATACCTTTTTGTTCAAATTAAAGGCCACAACTTTTGAAAGTAAGAAAAAGACAGAGAGGAAGAAAATGACTATAGGTTGAAAAATACTACATGAGGGAAGGCTGACCAAACCTGAATGTCAAACCTATGGAGACTTATGTTAAACTGAGTTAGTCCGACATTCAGACTTTATTAAAACCTTATTTTGACTCATTTCAATATAAAAGCTCACAGCTTCCACATTAAGGCTGCGAGTGCATCTACTGAGAATGTGTTTTCAGCATTTCATTTTCTAAATAAATGGGAAAGCACTTCCCCAGTAAATCATTACAATTGGTATTATTTAAAGAATAATTTGACATTTTGGGACATATGCTTTTTTTTAGAGGTGCTGCTAGGGTTTTTTTTGTTTTTTGAACAGAGTCAGGTTAGCTTTTTTCTCCTTGTTTCCAGTCTTTATGCCAAGCTAACAGGCTACATATTTACCAAACAGACAAAAGAGTGGTATCAATTTTCTCTTGTATCTCTTAGCAAAAAAGCCAATATGTCCCAGAATATCCAACTATTCTTTGAACTGTGATTTTAGGCTGTTAACAAAGAATTACAGATTTCTCAAATGTGCTTTGTGTTTCATTATTTGCCATCTAGCAATTTTAGTGGCAGGGAAGAAGGACAAAAATTGTTTTGGTCCTGATACTTTGCACATCTAAACACGCTTTTCTGGTAAGTGCGTGAATTTCTTAAAATGGCTAAAATGTTAAAGGTGTTACAATCATTCCCCAAATGAGGATTACCATCTGATAGCTGTGTGTGAAAAAGACAATCATCCAAGAGGGGGCTTGAGAGTATGATAAAACTCCTCATTTGGTGAGAAGGAAGATGCAGTATAAAACACGGTCAGCCTCTTTTTGGGACATTGAATCACAGAAACTTTCACATGATTTTTCCACGTCTTCATTGTACAGTAAATCACGATACTCTTGCAAACAGATAGAAAAACGAAATGAGAGTAATTTTGTCTGTACAGATATTCTTTTTCAGTTGGGTCGTGAGGAGTGTTTGCAGATTTTTAAGGCAGAGACACCGACTGTCGAGTCATCCTTGCTTGATGTATGTGCGCAGTGAGGAGGAGAAAATGGAGGATATAGTGGAAAAGAGGAAAGAGGAAAGAGGCAGTCATGTCTTCTGTGAGGCGTTTGACTGACGTGGTACCATGCCTGGCTGAGGGCTGAGTGCTTAGTGGGTCACACAGGGCAGGTGTTGGCCCCTGCTTGGCCTGGAGCTGGATGCGGACACTGGGTCAAGGCACTGGATGAGAGGGGCCCCCCCGTCCCTGGGGCTCTAAAGAGGCCCTGAGAGACTCATTGTGCTGCTGACTGTCACTATGGCCGAAACACTTTCACCTGCTGCTCTGGCTCCAACTTTTCTGAAATGCAAAAAAATCCAGAATTAAGCAAAGTGGCAATTTAAAATGAAAGCTCCTGCAAAAAGCTTGGGTTATCCAGAAAAAGAAAAACTGCCAATAACATATGAAGCAGCTGACTTTTCTTACAAGTCATAGGTTTAGAGCATACTGTATGATGGGCCGATAAAAAAAAGGACTGGAATCAATGATATGATTACATGTCTTGGTCCCTGATTTTGCCCCATTGTCCGGCCTTCTGTCTGTCTCTGGAGCTGCGCTGAAAGAAGCCACCCTGAATCAGAGCTATTGTGTGGCTGCTGGTGAAGAAAAAACAGACAAAAAGGAAAATAAAGAAAGCCCCAACAGAAAAAGGCCATTCACCAACATAAAAAGGAACAGACTTCTTGTTGGTTGATAAAACAGGCCTTATCCTCCTGCGTGTGTTTCCATTTGGCTGCTTTACATCTAATGGAGCTTTTCAGTTACTTAGTCCCTTTCTAGCAGATGTATTCATTTTTACATCCATTCAGCGGCCAATCTCTTCTTCTAGGACAAAGCGCAAAATGTGCGATGTTAACTAAAGGTGAATTAAAGTGTCCCCTCGTCTCTGTCTCACTCCCCATCTCTAGCTGTCTTTGTTTCACACACACACACACACACACACACACACACACACACACACACACACACACACACACACACACACACACAAACACTATGTGTATACAAGGCTGTTAAGCAGTGTTTTTGATTAGGAGAGTATGACATATACTGGGTAAGTCAGTACAGGTTAGCAGACTCACTTTACTTTTGCTTAACCTATGTGACTGATAAGTAGAGGGATGTACAGTAGGCTGAACATCATCAACCTTTAAAAACTAAAATATATAGTTAGAATTGTGAAATAATTCTGTTCTTTTGTCATGACGCAAAATAATTTCCGTCACTGTAGCTTGCTTATGCAACTGAAAATATATGGGGCATTTTCAACAAATATTTTCTTGAAATGTTGCTAACATTTTGATTTTGATGAATGAATGAATTATCTTTAACATTAACTAACTCACTTAATTAAATGGACCAGTGTATAAGATTGTAGGGCTGCAGACTGCAACCATTTGAGTATAGCTCTGCCTTCCTAGTGTGTAGGAGAAACTACGGTGGCCATGAAACTTGCGTAATAAGGCTGTAATAAGGTTTAGGATTTAGAGGTCAGGGGTGAGGAGATTGTCACAGTTTAGATTATATTTATATATATATTTTTTATGCATAGTTTTATTTGCGTGTGACAGTTTTCTCTGAATTGAGTGAAATTGGTACCTTTCAGTGGAGGGGCTGGAAGCTTCCTCCTTTGATGGCGTGATGAGTCCAGGGTTTGAGGCTGTAATCAGAATATTTGTATTATACACTTCATACACATTAAAAATTAACAAAGCACCCTGACTTAGGCTATGTTCACACTGCAGGCAAAAGCGACCCGAATCTGACTTTTTGGCTCATGAGTGACTCAGATCTTTTCGATTCCAATTCGGGCCACTTTCATATGTTATCCAAAACAGATACAGGTGACGTTTATGTCATTCTAGATCGACATTCATTATACAGGTCACTTCAGGACTGTGACACTGGAATCTGATATTGGCCACGTTCAAAAAATAATGTGAATGGGCGAAAAGAAAAAAAGAAAAATCTGATCTGAGTAATAAATTCACAATCGAGCACTAATGCTCGCAGTGTGAATGCAGTGTAGCCTTGGAGCTGCTATATGTTTTCATTTTCTCACTTTTAGTATCAGGTCAGTCATCTTTAGTTACTTAAGTAACTTAGATTACAAAAACTCCTTCTCAGACAAACGTTACTTAACATACCACTACTTGATAAAATACAACCAGGCAAATTTAGTATATATATGGCAGTGTGGGAGAGTTGTTAGGGCACTCGAAGGGCAGTGAGTTACCTTAGCCTTTGGCTTGTACTTGGAGAAGCGATTGCAGGCAGCCACATTCAACCCAGCTGTTTTTAGAGCTGATATCCTGGCCTCAATGTTTGATACCTTAAAAGGAGAAAGATACTTCATTTAAAAACACAATCCAATACAAGATTCAATCCTAGTGTGAATCTAATCACAGTTCATATTTGTCGGAAAGCTGCAGAGAAAAGCCATCCGGTACCTGTAGTTCAGACTGCTGAACCTGAGCAGCTGCAGTGGCCACCTGGTCTTCCAGGAAGGCCAGCTCTGTGTCTGTTGTGCCACTGCTAATACTGCGGGCACACTGCTCCAGGTCCCCAAGCGCCCCCTCAAGCCCGTACACAGCACCAGCAGTTAGGTACACCTTTACAGAGAAGAAGACACTTAGCTCCCAATATGATTGAATCTCAAAATACTTTTCTTATTGTGTGGAAATCTAAAGAGTGGTAAATTTGTTGGGCTAAGGTGCCCTTTAGCTTACATTCTCCTCCATCTTGGTCAGCCTCTGGTCTAGCCTGCGGGTCTCGGAGCTGCTGGAGATGGGAGAAGCACTCATGGATTCAGATGGGGTGTAGCTCTCACCTCCTGCCTCACCGATCAGCTCCTCTGTAGCGTTCAAAACCTTCAGCACTTCTGTGGTGATGCTGCAGAGAGAGGCTGCCGAGTACTTCTGCTTCATTTGAAGAACAATCACACACATGTCAGATGATACATCCTGAAATGCTTAATGTGATCAGCTTAAAGAGGAACAAAATATTGAACTGATTAAAAGTGAAATAGTCCTATCTAGAAATTAGGTTCAATGATGAACTGGCAAACCTTTTAAGTTGTTATGAGCATAAAGACTTAATGCATTCCTTTATATAAAATCTGTAAACATCACATTAAGGACAAAACAAGGGCTTAATGTAGCAGAATCACAGAAAGAAAAATATCTTTCATTCAGGAAGCAAGGGGCAAAATGTAATCATGCAATCCCAGCTGTGGGACATTATGAAGTCATTAGGGTATTGAAAAACATATTAAAATCACTATTTGAAAACGAAGGGGAGAGAATAAACTAAATGGAGCTTAACCTAAAAGGCTTGTGTCTTTAATAGCAGTGTTGGCCTAATCAGCTGTTCTGTGAACATGCATGTCTGCAAATGCATGAGCTCGGAAAAGCAATCAGAAGGTGCAGAACAAAGAACTGGAGGTGAGAAATGCAGTAGTAAGGAGGAAAGGAGGAGGAAAGGTAGCAGAGAAAGGTTTCAAGACAAAGCCTGAGGAATGATTGATCCTTTATTTTTTTTAGGCTTTGATCAGTTAAAATGTGTTGTAGTGAATAGCATATCTCTTATTACTGTGCAGGGGCTGCAGGATAGCAATTATGGCATGTGGATGTGCAGCTATACAGAATCAGGAATACATTAGCCAACAGAGAACAATTTCATATTGAAGCTTATATCCATCATTATCTGTCCATTAGACGACATGCTGGTGTACAAATAATTTCTTTTGACCTTTCAGTTGAAAAACTGGTACATGAGTTTCCAAAAAAGTAATAAAAAGACAGAGGTTCTGTTAATTAATGGACAAATCAGTTGGTGGAAATCTCTAACTACCATATCAAGATCCCTTCCACAGACAAACAAAAAAATCCTGTTAGTCAGTCTGTTTACTGCCAGTCAGCATTTCGATTGACTGGAGCAGCTTGTTCATTCAAATCCAAGCTTTTTCCCAATTCAGGCTGTCTGGGACAAATGCCTTGTAAAGAAAGCTGCAGTTTTTTTCTGAATAGATGGAAACATTAAGCAAGCAAAGGAAAGGGCAGTGAAGAGAGACAGATGTAATTCAATAATGAATGAATCACTGGCTGAAGCTTTGATCAGTGGGATCGGAGGCATATTGATCACTCTCTCAGCCAGACAGACAGTGTGACAGTCTGGAAGCCAGAGCTTTAGGTGGTGACATGAGAGGTAGTGAGGGATAAGAAGGAGCTGAGGAGCAACGATTTGGTCAAGACAGGATACAGTATTGGGTGAAAGATGAGAGGCAGAAAACCAAACCTCTTATCTTTTTTTTTTTTAATGAGCATTCAGTTATCTTAAAAAGAATAAGAAGCAGAGATGGACGGTCCTTGATATTGACTTGGGTTGGTCGATGGAGAAATGGATGTTTGGTGGGAGTTCTCATCCACTCCAAAGAAACAGGCCATCACCATTCAGATCAAACAGTCTGACACACATACACGTCTCACTGCTATTGATTTTAGAAATAAGATAAATTAAAAAAAACTAGTTTGGTTTTATATAAAGATAGAAATATAATGTAAGTAAGGAATACATAAGTGACTAGAATATAAGTGGAGTTCTGTGGTTTAATAATTAAATTACATTAGTTAATAGCAGGGACAGGTCGTTTTGTATATCTTGCTTTGCCTCTCTGTAGTCATGTTGTCTCTCTTTGTGGACATTTTGCATCTTTTTAGTCATTTTGCATTCCTTTTATGATGTTTTACAGATTGTTTTGTGTCTCCTTGGGGTCATTTGATAAACTTTAAAAAAAAGAAATGTTAAAAGTCACATAGATGCCTGAGTGAGTGCATATGTGCGTTGTTTTGTCAATGTAAGTGTGTGTGTATGTGTGAAAGAAAGTTATGAGTAAGAATGTTATTATTATTACCAAATTGCTTTGTTTTGCAACAGCTTTTGTCAGTGACGCAACTAAATTATATTAAACCCTTGGAAATGTGTTATGGTCATATTAGAATAATATATCATTATTATTCTATCAATTATTTCTTACATTATGTGTCCTTGTGCCTGATGAAGGTTATCTAAACTAAAAATGTATATAAATATACCTGCGGTGAGCAAGACAGTGCAGGTTCTTTTTCATTTTTTCAGATTTAATAAAAGCAAAATGCCAGATAATTCTTTAAAAAAATGTCAGTTTGATGTAAATACAAAATAAAGACTAAAAAGCCACAAATATCACAGTCATTATCAGACCTGTTTTCTCGTATTCACATCCAACTGAGCTGTCCTGGCAGGTTTCAAAGGGAGCTGTGAAAACCAACCGAAATAGATCACACAAGTACATGTGTCATTCACATTGTATGAGACAAGTATTACTCACAGAAGCCCTTATAATGATTCTGGCTAATGACCAGCATCGACCCACACGCCTCAGACATAGTACACGAGGTGAGCTCATAAGTGCAAGTCTGTGTATGAATGTGTGTGTGTGTGTGTGTGTGTGTGTGTGTGTGTGTGTGTGTGTGTGTATATTTTTTATGTGTCTATCTACCTCACATTGTGTGGGTTTTGACTTTACTATGTGATAGTACTGGAAGAGTGCTTTAACCCCATCATTGCTGTTGTGGTTGTCATCATCTTCTTCATGTTCATCATCATCAGTCACTACTATTAGTGTAGTTGTTGCGACTGATGTTGCTGTGCAACTGTCTGTCTGTCTGTCTGTCTCTCTCTCTCTCTCTCTCTCTCACCCCAACTGGTCGAGGCAGACGACCACCCACCTAGAGCCAAAGGGTCTGTCCTAGGTTTCTGCCTCTTAACAGGCAGTTTTTCCTTGCCTCCGTCGCCAAGTGCTTGCTCATGGTGGTACTGTAGGGTCTCTGTAAATGTTATAAGGAGTTTGGTCTAGACCTGCTCTATTTGAAAAGTGTCCTGAGATAACTTCTGTTATGAATTGGCGCTATACAAATTAAATTGAATTGAATTGAATTGAAAATTGAACTTAACTGTCAATTTCTGATTTTTATATTTTGATATCTAGACATACCATTTAGTATGTATACACTCTTTCATACAACCCATGCTTGTTAGTATTCAAGATATCACTGTACTTTTTACATGAAGCAATGCAATATGTGCACCAGCAGACATCATTCAAGATGTAACTTTGGAAAGGAAAAAAGCAAAATGTTCCTTTTCTTCCTTTCAGTGTAGTGCATTGCAGGACAACAATGTATGTCAACAGCCTTCTCAAGCTAAAGCAGATTTAATATGCACACTGACATCCCTATATATAGTATAGTTAATTTTGTCACTTTCCTAGTACAAGCGTACCACTTTACCACAATCTGCTTAGAATTTGTATGCGCTATAACACTGGGAGGCAGCTCATCTGTTACTGAAATATAACAGGATGTCAGGATACCAGTATTTTGGACAAGATTTGCTGTGTTTTCCTTTTGAAGGGATATTTTTGTATTTCAAAGGATATGATTTTCATTTACTTGATTATAGATCTTGTTTTGGTTGGAGCTTACAACCATCTTGGTTGCTCATTTTTCACAAGAAAAGTTGCTTATTACCCAAAACAATGCCTATGGCTGTGTTGCATTCTGACCTTTTGAGGTTTTTATTAATGAAAAAATTATATATGTAGCTCTGTGATGGATATCTCCTTGTATGATTCTTCTCAAAGCAAAGCAAAGCAAAGCAAAGCAAAGCAGGGGTTTTAGAGCAAAATACCTTACTATTTTATTTTGAGAGACTAACAGCAATGTTTAAACAGCTTGTTATGCTACTACATGTTACTTTAACTGCACTGCAAATGCCAGACGCTTTATTACCTGCAGAAATAAGAAGAAATACAAAACCAGCAAAAATGACATTCAACTTAATCACACATCCAGCCATCACGCACTTTGTACTGACATGCCTGTGCATTTACATGAGGAGTAAATATAGAGTTTAGTGTGCTTAATCAAAACAAATGTGTTCCATATCTAAAATGGGTGCATGGGTGCAGGTGTGGATACTGTATGTGTGCGTGGTAAGATGGAGGTTTAATTAGAGTTGTATGTCCACAAGCGTGGCATCCTGTGCAAGACCTCGCAGAATTCCTTTGCTGTTCTAGCTAATATCTCACCTGCTGCAAGAGAGAGGAGAGCAACTGAAGCCTCTGCTGTTGCTCCAAGTCATTCTGTCCCTCCTGACACACACACACACACACACACACACACACACACACACACACACACACACACACACACACACACACACACACACACACACACACACATTTACGAAGAAACACACAGACCAGCCAAAAAAGAAGAACGGAAGCACCGAGAAAAAGGGAAAACACAGGATGAGGGACGAAGAAGGACAGCAGTGATTGTCACATAAATACAAGGATAAGAGAGGAAGATTTGAGGATGAAGAGTCACTTAAGGTAAAATAAGAAAGACATGAAAACAAATGTATCAAAAGGCAGACAAACAGACAGTACTCTCCAGAAAGGGAGTGGTGGAATCAAATCTACTGTACTTTCTTCAAATCTCCTTACCTGGTTGTCTGACAGCACCCCCTCCTGGGAAGAAGGTGTCACAGCAGGTGAACTTGCGCTGGATCCACTCCTCCTTGCTCCTCCTTTCTGCTCAGCTTCCTTCTCCACATCTCTTTTATGTTGCCTCTTACTGTGTCTGTTCGGCTCTCTTTTATCTCCTCTCTTTTGCTCCTGGTTGCCCACTTTCTCTTCCAAACTTCCTACTCCTTTCTCTAACCTCCTCTCTCTAACTCTTCCTTCCTCTCTCACTGACTGACTCTTTATTAGTCTCTCACTTCTTTTCATCTCTTGTCCATTCACTTGTTCCACTGTCTCCCTTTCCTTACTGCTGGTCCTGTCTCTTAATCTGTCACTTGCTCTCTTCCTTTCTCTTTCTGTGTCTTTTGGCTTCATCTTCTCTCTCTGTCTGTCACTTTCTTTATCCGTCTGTTTGTCTGCATGCCGCTTCGTGCACTCCTCCTCAGATGAGCTGCTGTCTTTGCTGTTGGCACGGCTGACCAGCTGGCTGAGTCTGGATCGTATCTCCTCTTCCAGAGGGTCTCCAGGCCCGGAGAAGCTCAGCGAGTGCTGGGAGCCCAGAGCTAGAGAGTGGGGCTGTGGAGGGCTGGGGGCTGCTGAATTTGGGGCCACTGTGTCCAAGTCCTCTGCCTCAGGTGTCATGGCATCCAATTTGAAGGCGTCTGATGCAGCTGTGGCCATTGGCATAGTGTCAGGTACTGACTGTTCCTCACTTAAACCCCTCTTCAGAAGGGCATTGAGTAGAAAACCACTGTTCTCCTTGAATGAGGAAGCAAAGGGACAGAGTATACTTTTCACCTATATCAAATGTTCATCAGGAAATGTAGCAAAGAAGAGATAAGTAAGCCTGAACCACATTATCAAACACAGAATTGTAATTTGCCGCCCCCCAGTGGGGAAACAATATTTTACAACCACTTTATTTCAAATTGCAAAGTAGCTACTAGTATCCGTATAAAGGCAGCTGTGATATTTTACCTGCACTAATGGGTAGATGGACTGTGTGTGGCTCTGGCCTCCAGGCCTGCTCTGCTCTGTTGATGACTCTCTCTTGCTTTTCCTGCGTCGCCGTGATCTTCTGACCGGGTCACTCTGCCTCTCCTCAGCTTCGCTGCTGTCGCCCATCACCTGGGAACAAAAGGAGGGATACAACAAAGTACATTTACTCAAGTGCAGATTTGAGGTACTTTTATTTCCCCTTAATGCTACTTTATTTATCTGACAGACGGACATGGAAACATGTGAGATGAACTTATTCTAAACCTCTGCAATACATCAGTATTAATAATATAATAATGTCATATATCATAATATATCACTCACAGGGGCCAATTTCTGCAGACCAAGTACTTTAATTGTGATACTTTAAGTACATTTTGACTTTATTTGGATTTTGAACTCAGGAATGTTACTTGTAATGGTGGAGTATTTTAGATTGTTGTATTGGCAATTTACTTGAGGATATTAATATTTCCTCCACCACAATTATTTATTATGCTTTTAACCTGTTTTTTTTATGCTTTTATGAAAATATAAGGTTTTTCATGCCTGCTAGATAATGAGACACAGAATCAGTCACATTTTTAGTGTAAATTTATCCCATCTAATAACATGAAATACATACATTTATATTAGACTATAAAGTATAGAATAATCCAAAATTATAATGTAAAGATAAATCACCTTAGGGTTAAAGTTCACATCCAGTGCCTCTGATTGCAGCGGATACGGAGAGTAGTTCTGGTGAAGGTGTTGGTGGTAGAGTGGCTGGTGATGAGGGTGCAGGTGTGTGTCCGGCGGAGCTTTCTTCCTCAGCAGGTTGTGAGGTGCTTTGCGAGGACATGCGGACAGAACCGATGAGGCCTCTGAGTCTGAGTTGAGAGTCTCTGTGTTGGTGTACTGGCCAGAGGACGGTGATGTAATGGGAAGGTGTTGGGTGTACGTCCATTCCGGGTCATGCTGTGAGTCCGTGTAGTAAGTCTCATCGGACAGTTTGCGCCGGAACTGTCGCAATGCTGCACCCCAGCCGCCTTCATCGTCCTCCTCAGAGTCGGATCCCATCTCGTCGTAAGCTGACACGACGCCGGACTCCTTTTCCAACACGCTGAACACCAGGCTCTTCCTCTTTGTTAGCAGACTGGGACGAGACAGCTGTGAGCTGTGCAGAGCAATCCAGTTACCGTCTGGGCTCTGGAGCACTGAGGACGCACCTGGAAACACATGAACACACAACAGGAAGTTTATTAAGACAAACTCTTATTTCCACCTGTACTTTTTGGATAGGCTGTGTGACCTACTTCTTTAACAGCAATTATTTTTTATTGTTCAAAATGAACTCTTCCACTAGATACAATAATTATATCTCAGTAAAACTTCATCTAAAATTATGATCAGTGAGCCCACGATCATGTAGCATCAACAGAGGAATATTTTGCCATAATTTGACAAAACAATAAAAACTTAAATGCTAAGATATGTACTAACATTTAAGACTTTCTATTGACTTTTTAATAATTGTAAAAACTTCTAAATTCAAGCAATCACAGCCACTATTCTCCATCAATTAGGAAACTTTTTATTGTCACATTTTAAGACATCTGGGTTGAGTGTTTGAGGAACTACTTTTGAGTAAAATATACTGAAAAAAAAAAAAAAAGCAATAAAAGGAGTCAAAATGTTGCCGAACATTTGTGCAACAACTTTTTCATTGCACCCTTTACAGTACCAGAAGATTGTTTTTATGGGCCTAAGTTAAAATAGTTTACAGTTAAATACCATGAAAGCATCACCAGAGTGCAGGGATGTGGTCTTCCCATATTGTACCCTACTGTGCATTGCATCAGCAAGATATTGTAAGATAACGCTTTAATCAGTTCTCTAGCCAATAGAATTCCCAATTGCATCTGCATACTGGCATCAAGAGGAATCAAAGGAAAACTACCTAACCAAATGACATTAAACAGAGTCTGTGAGTGTGGTATTTACTGGAGTTGTCCAGGCGGTCAACACTCTTCCAGGTGGGCAGAGATGTGGCCTTGCCCTCCCTCTTCAGAGAAGCGTACTCTTGCAAGCCACCACCCGCCCCTGCGCCCTCTTCCTCTGGACCCTTCTCTGGGGAGTCGTCACTGGTGAGGGAGAACGCTGACCGTGAGCGCTGCAAGCACACACATCAGTATACACACATGTTTGAGACACAGATCTGAAAATTTTAAGTTAAAGCTGACCCTCCTCCTTTTGTTCCCTTGAGTCTGGGCAGGCCCTTCAGACAGACTTAGATTCAGTTCCAGACAGATTACTACTGGATACAGAGGCAGCAGCACACTCATTACGTAATATCCATATATAGTATCCATATATAGTAGACTAGGCTAGTCCACTTCCTCTATGGGCAGAAATCTGTACAGGTATGTCTGTAGTTCCATATTTTCATCAGCAGGTGGAGCTAGAAAACAACTACAGAACTAGCCTGACAGAAGAGGATCTTGTGCAACTACCTAGGATCAGAAAATGTTTTTATAATGAAACATCTCCAAAGTCAAGACATGTTGCCAGTCTTCCCAATGACAAGGGAATGACTTAGGCTCAAGATGAAGTTTTTCTGGTTAGATTACAGTAGGATTTCCAACTGGGTTTTTCTACTGGGCAGTTAATGTTTGTGGATGTGCATTTAAACTTGGTATTGGATTTAAACCTCATTCAGGTGCACAAACTCACACTGCAATTGTGATTTAACATTCAATAGAAATGACTGATGTTGGTACATTCAAGTATAGACTGAACTGTCTAGTAGGGTACAGAACAACTTGAGAAAAAAACAAATTCTTACAATGGGTGGGTGGGTACCATTAAGATTACCCGAAGGATCAGTGTTAAGGCAGTACAGCTTTTTATGTGTGTGTATTTGCATGCACTGTGTCATAGTGAGTATGTTTGCAGAGAGCTGATAAACAGAGCCCTTCCCATGGCGGGCCGAGCAGTCGAGGAGGATCCCTTCGTATTCCACAGGACTTTGATCTTCGCTGAGTGAAACAGCGGGAAACAGAACGGTGAGGCTCAGGGAGCGCAGCTTTGATGCTTCGCTCACACGGGACGATGACAAATCTCCTCGAGTCCCTGCTGACTAGTAGTGTGAACCTCCGCCAGGTGTGTGTGCGCATTGATGATTTGTGTGTGTGTGTGTGTGTGTGTGTGTGTGTGTGTGTTATTGTGTGTATCCCTAAGTCAGTGGAACACTTAGTGAAACTGTCAGACTGGATTTTCTTCTGAACCACTCAGGTATTAATCAGAATCGGTTCATATGTGATTCAAATCACATTTACAACACTTCTAAAGCTTTGCTTTTGCCTCCTTAAGGGGTAAATCCACTTTAAAACACTTCAAACAGTGGGGAAAAGGCTATTAGCCATGCATCTATGGGTCTATTTTTTTTCTTGGTGGTCTATATTCCCTTTATAAAATGGCGAAACACAGTGGATGGAATTCAAAGGGTGGCACATGTCCAAGCAATCCTCTAAATTAGTTACTGTATTGTGTTGTTTCCATATGGATACAAGGCATCAAAATACACATCATCCTGAGTTTTGGAGAATGCCTTAATCCTACAAATATTACAAGTGTACAAAATGTTAAGTGGGTCAGACCCCTTCACCACTGGCTTTCAATACAACAGCTACACGATCCACAGACAACCTAAATAAAATGCTCAATGGGATGACATTGACACCGCATGTGACCAGTGCTTCTGAAGGGTTACAGTGATTTTCTGTCAAACGCAACATTCCTGTGTGTTTCAAATCTGGCAAATGCACCGAGACAATGGCTGGTCCACCCAGAGGAACACACACAAAAACACAGACAGAAGATCATTATAGTGTATGTGCTGTGAACTGAAGTGAGAAATGTACTATGGAAAAAACAAACCACCCTTTCTTTAAACACATGGTGCATAATGGAGGCGAAAATCCGTCTGGTCAAGACTCAGCGGTTTACACCAGCCAACAGGATGGTTTTAACTTCACCGGATACGGTTGGCATTTTTAGAGTTTTAACAGTTTGCATGGAGGCAGAGACTAACCCAGAGGGAGTATGAGGTCTTCAGGGGGTCCTGTGGTCCTTGTGAAGAAGCTTGAGGCTGAGACGGAGAGGGGAGTTCACTGGGCTGGATCAAGGACTGAGGCTGAGGCCAGACAAAGTCATACTCTGTTTGCATCTCTGAACGCTTCCTCCTCTGGATGATCTGAGAAGGGAAGAGAGTAAGGAGAAGAAGCAAGTAAGAGAAGACTAAACGATGCAAGCATATAGAGAAATGTATTTAAATAATGAATCATAATAATAATTGCAAATTGGAAAATGCTATCGCATGACAGCATTTTACACTTAGGCATGAATAATTTGTTATAATGAAACTAACTATGAAACCAAAAATCCAGTTTCCATTTTTCATGTAATATTATGCAGCACGATCCTCAAAATGGAGATAAAAAAAACCCTCAAATGTTTTATTTCACCTTCAAAGACTTGATGGCCAAATCAAATGTTAGTTAAAACTGCAAAGCAATTAAACAACTGCAAACTTTGTCTCCAGTTACTATGAGTATGCAAATTACAATACGTGATTAAAATGAAAGCAGTTGTCATTTGAATCTTAATTCCAACTAAAATATCATATTCAAAGACTTTCTGCCCTCTTCTCAAATGGTACTAGAATCCCAGTTTTCAAAAGAGGGAAAGAACTTAAATTTTCTGTGTTCCTGCACTATCTCCCCTACAAAAATGTATTACCGATGGAGTTGCTTTTGTTTTACATTATAATAGTCTGTCAAAGTGTCAAAGTGAAGACAGAGATGGGACCTTGTTCTGTGTATTAGATTTTCCTTTTCAAGTGTGCATTTACATTTGAATGAGGTCAACTACTCTCAGTGTCTTCATACACAAGGGTGAAGTAAACATGCAAAAATAAAACGCACTCTTACTCAACCTACTTTTTGTACAATGGTTGTAGCAAGTTCCTCTATGAGCTCCTCTTTGTGGTCCCGCAGATACCGAGCCTCATTCTGCTTCTCCTGCACACACACACACACACACACACACACACACACACACACACACTATATATATATATTCGGTCCAAAACGACTGAGAATTACCAGAAGAGGCTCTGTGCAGACGTCTTAGCCAAAAACCATGACTGCATCCCGCTGATACTGAGACCAAGAGGGAGGCGAGAGGAGAGAAGTAAGAGGACATGACAGAGAAAGCGGGGATGGAAAAGAGGGGAATGAAGGGCAAATGGAAAAGAGAGAGGCAGAGAGAGAGAGAGAGAGAAAGGAAGAAGAGGAACAGAGAGATGTCTCACCAAGCTGTCACTGAACTCCTCTGCCTTAGCGATGGCCTCCTCTATAGCCTCCTCAGCAACACGCAGGGCGACTGTGAGCGTCTCTGCCATACTGTGTCCTAATAACACGCAGGAACCACACATTTCAGAGATATTACACCCCAACACACATTCCCACCCATCCCTTTAACTCAAATCCAAGGGTTCCAAACCTAGGGGTCACAACCCCTCAAACACCTCATAAGACAAATTTGATGTGTCACAAGATATTATTATGTTTTTGTTTTGAAAAGTGTTTTTAAATCTTAATTTTTTGTGAAATAGTTCAGTACAGTTTAGCCTCTTCTTGACTCTTTTAAGTATTTAAATGAAACAATCTGAGAAATTTAGAGGGGTAAATGACTGCAAGTGTTACTCTAGTAGATGTATTACTGCAATGCCAAATAGCAGCACTAGGTGGCACTACTCCGACCAATTTCCACAAGAGAGACCCCTCATCAGTAACAAGTTGGTGCAGGTTATCTTGTCTACTGCTCATGTTTCATTATAGTGCTGTGGAGACCTGGCATTGTATGGTCGATGTTAAGTACTGTAGAAGTGTGGAAATCTCCATTTTGTTGACTCTTAGAGCTAACTGGCTATCCCTATGGTTACAGGTCTTGGTGAGTATCACTGTGTATGCGGAATCAGTTATATAAAACATTTTGTGGCTCCATAGGGAGCTGTGTAAACCATTGCTTGGGGCTGAAGACTACAAGTTTGAAAACGAAAAAAACCCTGCAGTTTTGGAGTTCGAAAGAAGTGAGTTTACCAGACCTCTGTAGCCCGGTCCTCATCTCTGCTTGAGGCTACAGTAGCCACTAATAAAATAAAACACCTGAATTTCTGACCTGTTGGGGGTTGAGTTGCATTGTGGGTAATGTAGTTGTCAGGTTTCACAAGAAGAATGTGTGGTATAAAAAATATGATATCTCTTGTTCTTCTGCGTCAATACTTTCTTAAAACTATATATATATATATATATATATATATATATATATATATAAATAAGCTATAGCAGTGTTATGCAGAAAAGGCGAGGAACCTTTGCTGTAAACAAACTGTATTAGCTTTAACCCTGAACAAAAGAAGAGTGTAGATTTAAATTTATTCCCAATAATTGCACAAACAATTTGGGACAAAAGAAACAATCTCTACAATCTGTACTCCCAACAGAGCAGTATAGTAGAAAATAATGCAACATAATATAAACTGTTCATTTGAACACTGAATTCTAATAAAAACACACACATAGAGGGCGTTTGTTTGTGGTCTTCTCAAGAGCTGCCATTATCTAAATGGCAGATCTTGATCACTGCACAACTCATAATTACAGGCAAACAAATAAAATTAGCTTTATCATTAGGTTGGTGCTATTTGGTTGTCTGCCTATTTGTTTGTGTATGAAGGTGTGTGTACAGTTAATGGCACAAGCATTTATATCTAAATGTGTGCTCTGTGTTATGAGGGATATAATTGTATCTGTGTGTGTAGATTTATGCGAGACGGCATGTCAGTAGATTTATGTTTGTGTGCATGTGTGTGAATTTTAATGTGCGTGTGCAGTTTAATGACCAAAAGAGGACTGTCACTTTAGTGTAGCACTGATAAGATTCCCCCCACACACAGAATGGTATCTATTTGTTAAGGCTGCAATTAACAAAGGAATAAACATAAAAGCTCAAACCTTTTAAGAAAATGGACAAAAGGGACAAATGGTGAAAAAATCAATATGGTAGGCAAGAAAAGGCAAGAAAAGATAACGTCAGTTACATTTGTGGCTGAAATGACCATTCTGCACCACCACAAATAAAGAACTTTAGCTGCCCGTTCACCACTGCATCTCTCACCTTCACTCTGCTTGTAGAAGGCGGAGTCACTGCCACAGATGCTGCCATCATTGTCGTTGCCGGTGCTTCCCTCGTGAACACTGCTTTCTAAAGGGGGAGAAAGAAAGACAAATGACGCCTTCAGATAAAAGCCTTCTCACTGACGCCTGTCACAGGAATGCAAATATTCGGCTCATATCATACCATATAATAACGTAGCTGTATATTCTTTCACACTGTTGCCACGTTAAAAGTAGGTTGCACTGCGCACAATGCCACTAAACCCCTTTCAGTACTCTTGTCAATTGTATTCCCAATTCCATTTTGTTGTCTTGTCAACTGTATTGGTTTGTTTCTTGTACTGAGTGCCTTTCTCTATTGTGCATAAAAAGAAACAAAATGACAGTTGAAAGAAAATGACATTTCATCTCATAATTCCCTTCACCTTTCAAACAAATCTCTTGCTGGCACTTATCACAGGCATATGAAGTGTGTCACCGTGTAGTATATTGGTTGTATGTTTTCTTTATAGCTCATTCAGGCCAAGCCTCTTATGAGTTAGTGCTATATTTGTACAAGTATCTTTTTCAAACAAACTCAAAATTCTAGACTTACAGCAAAGAGACACGCGTGTGACCCAGAATGAAAACTTTGTGGTAATAATTCTTAGACAGGTCTACTTAAAGAGCCGTGAAAGCCCAGAGAAGGTGTAGTGGTTACAACATCCCCGCCTTCAAAACCACATATTCCCTCAGTGGCCCATTAAATCCTGTTAGACATCTCTCCTGTGGTTCCCATTTATTGTGGCTTTCTCATCAGTCCAGCTGTAAAAATGAAGAGAGCATAAATGAACATGCAGCTTATTAAGAAGACAAACTGTCAGACAGCACAGGACTTGCCAGACCACCAAGGAGGAATATAAAGCTACTGCAATAAAGGAACTAAGTCCTCTGGCTGCCCACAGTCCAGGTACATTTCCATTCTCAAACACAGGACAAAACTCAAGAGCACCCTGGCTCCAGTTCCACTCTGGCCCTCACTTGAGCTCAATTCCATCCACTAACTGGAGCCAAACCATATCCAAAACCACCTATCCTAAACCCAGGCCTTGTTCCAAAGCGTCAGCCCCTGCTGCTAACAAAAAAGAAGCACAACCAAACTCTGCGACTCCCATTCTTGGCTGGTCTCCTCGCCTCCAACATTAATCAAGTCAACAGTGTCCTGTTGCTATTCCTGTTGGATCAGCTGCAGTTTCTGGCTGAATGCACAGAGACAGTCAAATGCTTGCGGTGGTTTGGTGCGAATCCGGCTTCAGGGAGCCAGAGCCACTCACCGATCTCAGCCATACAAACTGTAACACCGCCAGGAACACAGCCGCATACCTAGACATCACTCTTCTACACCACAATGTTGCAATTGGATGCAGACTTAGTATCTCCCAGTGTACGTCTTATTAAAAAACACATATTTTGTATAAAACTGCAATAAACTTAATAAAATGATTTCAGAATGGGTTTAATGAGCCCAAAACATTAAAGAATGAAGCCAGGCTAACAAAACCAAATACAATAAAATCAAAGAAGCTGGCGTTTTCTTCTTATTTTCCCCTTGACAGCAGCAGTGACACAGCCAGCTGTCAGAGATGTTATACTATTTCAGCTTTACTGCAAGATGAACTGCTGTTTGTCAAAGCACTGCAACGTTTTAGTGCAGAGCCTGTAAGCCAGCAATCACAAGCTCTTACATTACTTCACTGTGACATGGAGTGACATGCTGTAACTCAACCACAAAAGACAATATTTGATGTTTCTCTACACATCTGACTACAGGCAACAGCTGCCCTAACAGTAGCTTCACCTGATGAGTGTGTAGCTTCACTTTGAGGAGTGTGTTTGGTTTCATGGGGCCCCGTGTATCTCCATTTACAGGCCAGTCCTCCCAGTCGCAGCACGGTGTAACAAGTCCCAGAACCATTACACGCTCCACCCATCCTTCACTGCCAGAGTTGTCTTACTCTAACTGAAGCGGCGTTCAACAGAGCTGTACTGTTCTCGCTTGGTTAGAGCTGAATTATAGTTTCTGGCAGTGTGGGAAAGGGGACAATAGGTGGGGAAATTACCTGCAGCGGCTCAGGACAATGTAGACACAAAAGGACTGCTGTCAGAGAAAGTGAGCGGCCCTGCAAGTATCACACAGGTGGGGAGCACACACACACACACACACACACACACACACACACACACACACACACACACACACACACACACACACACACACACACACACACACACACACACACACACATCGAGAAAGACACACAGGAACCCTGACACACAAATACTCAGCCTAAGCAAGCTCCTCGGGACTGGATATCATGATAATTTATCCCACACCAACACCAGCTCAGCACTGTTGACATACCAACCTCCACCTCTGTCACAACAGCCTGTCAGCATATAACTTTGGCATCTGTTAGATATCTGAAAAAGTGTTGCTGTCACCTGTCAGTCAGTCATATGGACGCAGCCTGGAGCAAGCCGTCCAAGGAGTATGCAGTATTTGTTAAATTTTTATCTTGGACAAATAAAAAAAAAAAGTGTGTGTGTGTTACTGTTTGATGTTTGGTGCTGGGACAGTAGTGGGTAGTGGGTTTATCAGAGCTTTTTCGCTGAAAACAGCTGTTTGCTTCTGGAAATGAGGTTGATGAGAGCTGTGAAACTGAACTAAAACAGTAAAGCTCCGGGCCATAAAACCAAAACAATGAGCTTAAAGATGCTATTAAGCTTTGTAGAGCTGAGGTGAACTGCGGAGTCAGGTAATAATTCTTGGTGGGTTTGTCAGGAGCGAGCCTTTTCAAATTACATTTCATCCTTTAATATAAAAATATTGATTATAGTTGCTTTAAAGGTCCAGTGTGTTACATTTATGTGGATCTATTGGCAGAAATGGAATATAATACGTATAGGTATGTTTTTATTGAAAAGTCCACCATGTTAAACCGCCATGTTTCTAAAGTAGCACAGAACAGACAAACCAAACACTGGCTTGTGTGTGAAAGTGTGACAACAGAATGATGTAGTTGTTTCCTGAATGGGACTGATCTAGTGTACTGACAAAAGACCAGTTAAAAAAACAGTTAATTGCTTACTTAATTGTTAATTGCAGCTTGTCTTACTGAGAAAAAGCAGATTTTTGGTCAGTGGTTAAGGTTAGAATAAGGTTAGTGTAAGGGTTAGGGTTATGCTAGTCTCACGGTAACCGATGATCGGAGAGCTCAGTGTGTACTAATCGTCTGGGGATTTCTAAACGCAATAGTGCAAGTAATTGGTTGAACGGCAGCGAGAATGGTCGCTGACAACGCCCCTTACTTCAAGGACACGCCTTACCTGAAACAATGTTCTCCCCCCATTCTCCGCCATAATGAAACAAACTGGAGGTATAGAAAATCACTTTGTAACAATAATGTTTACAAGCACAAGACTTTTGCCCTAAAGACTTTGGATTGGTTCTGCAATGCAGGTTTTCTTAAACTCTCTAATTGTTTCCATCCAGTTTTAGCAAAAAATCCAGGAGAAACTCCTCAGTTTCAATTGAGCAAAGCATTTAGAGACTGACTTGTGAGTCTAGGTTTAGGCCAAGTAGTGGTTAGGATTAGGGTAAGTCTCCAGGAACAGGGCCTCCTATGTGTGTGTCTCAGTCCAGTACATTGCTCCTCACGTCCAACTTCTGTATTTTCAAGACCATTGTCTCACCTTTGTTCCTTACCACTTGCCATAACCGCCACTCAGGGGAGTGGAGGAGGAAATCGCTCGATATTGCCATGGTAACCACACAGACAACGGCAGTGGCCTGCATCTGCAAGGGCGTCTGCACACATCGAGTGTGCAAATGTGGGTTTCATAGAGTGTGTGTGGAAAAGAGAGTGGGACTACATTACCTTTCTGTTAAAGGTTCAGTGTGTAACATTTATGAGGATCTGTTGGCAGAAATAATATAATATGACGTGTTTTCATTAGTGTATAATCACTTAAAAATAAGAATCGTTGTGTTTGTGTTAACTTAGAATAAGCCGTTTTTATCTTCAGAGGGAGCAGGTCCTCTTTCATGGGTGCCACCATGTTGGACCGCCTTGTTTCTACAGTTGCCCAGAACGGACAAACCAAACACTTGCTCTGGATAGGGCATTTTGTGTTTTTCACTAGTTTTATGTCCAAAATGGATTCTCCTATATGCTTTGCAGGATGAGATGTATTTAAATTGTTGCAATCTGCAACTTCATTGCTATGGCATTAAATACTACAAACTGTTCCTTTAAGAGAAAATGGATGATTCTCAAACTTGGCTGTACATGTAAATGCAAGGTCAGTAGCTCCTTCAAACTTTCTACATTTTTGTTTTAATCTGTTTTATTGCTGAAAACATTGAATGATGTCTGATTGAATTTGATTTTAAATGGCTTAGGCAAAATTCTTCACATCAGCTGGATAAAGACATTTTAATAACTGCAACGGCTGCACATTCAGGTGTAGCGGCCAGTTGGATGTTGACTTCTCACGTCTCTTTTTGTTCTTCTTTAACTTCCTCAAGTGGCAGATTCTTTCCCAGCTTTTCCCTGCTCAGTCAGCACCAGTCTCCTTCTTTTTCTTTACCTCGTTGGTGAGCTGCTCAACCTGTTTCCCGAGGGACTCTTTCTCTGTTGTCAGTGTCTCCAGACTGGCAGAGAACTCATTGACCTTCTCCTCCTGACATGCAATGTGCTGTTCAGCACCCTGGAGGTGAGCCTTCAACACCTCGACCTGTCTCACAGTCCTCAAGCTGCTAGGCCCACCAGTTGGAGATCCAGGCAAGTAGATTCAGCTTGAAGGTCATGGTGCACTTATAGGGCATAGATACTACAGGCATATTTGTAAAAACCAGTCGAAATGTCCAGTGTGTAACATTTAGAAGGATCTATTGTCAGAAATGGAATATTATCCTCATAGGTATGTTTTCATTTGTGTATATTCACCTGAATATACAAATCGTTGTGTTTTTGTTATGTGAGAATGAGCCATTTTTATCTACAGACTCTTACTCCCAGGTTGTCAAATACAGACGCCAGCAGTGTT